CCATAACTACAACTCTGACTGAACAAGAGGCTGATTTTAGTAACTCTCTCCTGATGAGAAGACCATTGACCATGAACTGGCTCTGGCCAGTTTACAGAAACTGTGCACTAGTGTGCACTTTCTTTTCCTAAAGAGATCTCTTGATGTATACGCCCTAACTGTTATACATTTAAATGTTAAGTCTTCACCCCAAAGTGAACATGAGTCATGTTACATGCATGTTGGTTCAATACACACATGTCAGGACTGTCTTTGTGAATATTCATAGTTCTTTCTGTAACCTGCTGAATATGTGTTTAGCCAACCTGTTCAGCATAATGCTCCTATCTCGACTCCTCCTCCTTCAAAGTGCCTGTCTCTGGTTTTGGCTGTAGGCATGCTTCCTGGCCTCTAAATGGCCACCTTGCAAGCGGTAGCCACATAAAAAAATAAAGTCTCCCCTCCTCTTTCAAATATATAATATTTTAAGTTAACAATACCTTCATAAAGTTAGGAGACGGGGAAAAGGAAAGAAAGAAAGATTCTTGAAATGTAAGCTATAACCAGAAATCAATAAGTGATGGGAATGGACAATATGTAAAAGGTAGGACATTTGGGGACCCTGATATATGGATCCTGTGTGCTTACATGAATCAAGGAGAGTAGAGGATCTGAGGCTGGTGACATTCCCTCGTAGTGATAGCAAGGAAAGGGAATCAGATATATGAGCAGCAGACTTGGATATTGCCTAATATAAGAAGGGTGACCTATGTTTGGCTTCAAAGGTTGTAAGGCTACCTTTTGTTAGAAGGTAGAATCATAAGGTCACCACTGCTAAACTGGTAGCTGTATCTAATCCTGGGAGGGTTGGGAAAGAAGGCACCAATGATGTTGGGGTACACTTGGGTAGCTGTCCTTTGAAAAAATGGAGGCACTAAGGAGAAGGCCAAATTGATATTTTACAGGTTCAAGGGGGGAATTGGACCCAGGTATTAATGCCAGGTACTCTGTCCTCAGTACTACTTGGGACATCTTCCAGGCAAGCTCTCAGAGAGCTAGGAAGAGCTGGGAAAAGAAAATTATTGTCCATCTGAGATACCTACCCAGCTAAGCAGATCTTGTGCTAACTCTGAAGGTTCCAAGAGGAGAATGTGGGGCCACTTTCTTGGGGGAGCAGAGAAAACATGCCATTCCTCTGGATCCCTGGAGACAATTCTGCACAAAGTTAATGAATGGTTGTTTTCCCACTAAACACCAGAGACCTAGTCTGAGTATCTTCTGAGTCACAGTCTCAGAAGTTACTCCCATGAGGAAAACAGGGGCTATAAATATCTACAACTTGTGAATGATGGGAAGAATCCAGGGAAGGGAGCATTCAGAATCAAGAAGCATTGGGAGATTTTCCACAATTAGAAACCTTTTTGTATGCAGTTCTTGGCACAGATTTGTCTTCTTTTTGACTAATTATTTCATAGAGCAGAAATGAGAGGAATGAATATATAAGGCGAGACAGTAATGTCCTTTCCAGGTAAGAAATCAGCCTAGAGAGTGCCTGGTGAGAAAGTGGAAATACATGATCTCTGGGAGATAATTAGTCGTCACTGGACATTAAATAAGACAGCAAATTTATATTCACCCTAAATGTAGATTATGTATATTTATACTCTAAGGTCTGATCTCCCTTTACCCTAGCCTACTCCAGAATTACAGTCCCCTGACCTTGGGACATGAATTACCAGCCAGAGAGTAGGAAAGCTTGGGAGAGAATTTCCTCACACCCAGTTTCACTGTCCCCCTCACTTTCTCATCCCCTGTGTTTCTTTTCCCTATAACTGTTTACATTCAATTGAGTGTTTTTTAATGATATAAAGTTAATATCACTTTATTTTAACTTTGTAATAAGACATTTTCTGGCCTTATATAACTCTGGAATAATAAAATAGCTTTAGTAAATATCCATTGAGTATCCTTCTGTACAGGAACCATGTGTTACAGTAGGTACAGAGGTGAGGGAGTAAGACATCCTCTCTACCATGGGAGAGTTTACAGCCAGAGTGCAGGCAAGCTGACAGACAGCTGTGATACAAGGCAGAAGGCCCATGCTCTAGAGGAAGGTTTCACAAAGCTGCGGGACTGAAAAGTAGAAAAGGTCATGTTCCTGTTGGAAAAATCAGGGAAGATTTCACAGAGGAGCTGCCACTTGTGGTGGGCCTCAAAGAATGGATAAGTGTTCAAAAGACCCAGATGGGAAGGGCAGAGGGACCCTGGGAAAGCATGGAGTGTAGACGGGACCCCTTGCGTTGTCCAGTATAGGCTGTATATTGAAGACCAGAGGGAGTAAACCAGAAAGGCAGGTAGGTTGAGGCCCCAGGGTCTTGACTCCCAGGCAAATACAGTTTATTCTCTGTTCTTTCAGTATGCAGAACCGTGAGAGATTTTTAAAGCAGGAGATGACAGGATGATTGAATACCTTTTTTGATAGAAGGATTCATGCATTTTACATTTTTTATGCTAAACCAAGCAGATTGGATGGGATGGTCATCATTATCGCTGTTCCTGTGGGAAATATTGCTCTGCTGCAGAGGAAGGAACTGGGATCAGGAGAAGCCAGGAGATCTGTGACCTAGTTCTGAATCCACCACGACCCAGTGAGTGACACTGAGCAAGCTCTGAGTCTTTCTGCCACTACTCTGAAAATGAAATTAGACTGATGATCTGTTCAGAGCCCTTTCAGCTCTAACATCCAAAGCCTATCAATACTGAAAACTGCTTTCAAACTAATCATACAGTGGAATGGAGCAGCTCTTAATTAAGCTTAAATTAAATTAAAGCTTTAAGATGAGGAAAACAGCTTTTGAATTTCAATAGTTTTTAAGCTGATGGCTGTGTAAATTGATAGGCTGCCTTATAGCTCCAAAATGAACTTTTTTTTTTTTTTAAATACAGGGTCTTGCTCTGTCGCCCAGGCTGGAGTGCAGCAGCACAATCATAGCTCACTGTCACCTCGAACTCCTAGGCTCAAGCAATCCTCCCACCTCAGCCTCCTGAGTAGCTAGGACTACAGGCACATGCCACCACACCTGGCTAATTTTGTAAGAAAATTTTTTTTTGAGACTGAGTTTCGCTCTTGTTACCCAGGCTGGAGTGCAATGGCGCGATCTCAGCTCACTGCAACCTCTGCCTTCTAGGTTCAGTCAATTCTCCTGCCTCAGCCTCCTGAGTAGCTGGGACTACAGGCACATGCCACCGTGCCCAGCTAATTTAGTAAGAAAATTCTTTATGGGGACGAGGTATTGCTATGTTTCCCAGTCTCCAAAGCTGGTCTCTGGCCTCAAGCAATCCTTCTGCCTCAGCCTCCCAAAGTGCTGCGGTTACAGGCAATGAGCCACCACTCATGGCCTGGATGTAAATGTTTACTGAAGAGTAAAGCATTTCACTATGTCTATAAAACCTTCAAATTTCCAAAGCAAAATAAGACTTCAGTGTGCACTTCCTAGTTTGAAAACAGCAATTGTTGTTTCTTGGTTCTGAAAGGACTTGATAGCCCCACTCTAACAACAGGAAGGCATCACTAGATGGCTTTGGGCTTCTTAGAACTAGGTTTTTCCCTCTTTTCTCTTTGCTTCCCTGACTAGACAACTACACGTCTGGGTCTCATTCTTTCCTCCTACTTCTCTCGCTTTCGCCTCAGATGTCTTTCCTCTATTGGCGTAAAGCATTAGGTGTGTATAGGATTTGTGAGTTAGTATTTATTACCTCCATTTTCTTTTTTTTTTTTTAATTGCATTTTAGGTTTTGGGGTACATGTGCAGAACATGCAAGATAGTTCCATAGGTACACACATGGCAGTGTGTTTTGCTGCCTTCCACGCCTTCACCCACATTTGGCAAATCTGTTTTAAGTGACAAACATTTTACAGTTTTCTTTTGAAAATTCCTACACTCTACTACTTTATTTATGTGGCTTTATTTGTGCATGTCCACCCCCTAATGGATTAACTTTAGGTTTCTTGCTTCCATTGTAAATGATGTGGAAAGAAACATCTTGATTATTAAAAAGGTTTATTCATCAACTACAAGCTAGGTGAAATAACTATTTCATTACCTAGATGTGGTTTAGCCACTTAAAATCCTTAATCAGATGACCTGAACTTGATTCATAGTCTTCATCTGTGGTTCCTGTGATTCAGTATCTCTCTCTCTCTCTCTCTCTCTCTCTCTCTCTCTCTCTCTCTCTCTCACCCTCTCTCCTTGTACCTAACCCTTCTCTGTAGTTCTTGCTATGGGTTAAATGTTTATGTCCCCCCAGAAGTCACTTAATCCCTAATGTGATAGCATTTGGAGATGGGTATTTGACAGGTAATTTAGGTCATGAGGGTTGGGGCCTTCTTGAGTGATTAATGCCCTTATAAGAAGAGCTTGCTTCCTCCCCCTCCTTTCTGCCATGTGAGACTACAAGAAATCTTCTGAAAACCAAGAAACAAGCCCTCCACAGACACTGGAACTGCTGGCAACTTGATCTTGGACTTCCCAGCCTCCTGAACTGTGAAAAGTAAATGTTATTTAAGCCACCCAGTCTATGATCATTTTTTTTGAAGGTATCTCGCTCTGTCTCCCAGGCTGGAGTACAGTGGCATGATCTCGGCTCACTGCAACCTCCCCTTCCTGGGTTCAAGCAATTCCCCTGCCTCAGCCTACCTAGTAGCTGGGACTAAGGCATGTACCACCATGCCCAGCTAATTTTTTGTATTTTTAGTAGAGACAAGCTCTCACAATGTTAGCTCCTAACCTCAAGTTATCCATGCACCTCAGCTTCCAACAGTGCTGGGATGACAGGCATGAGCCACAAAATCTGGCCAGTCTCTGGTAATTTGTTACAGCAACCTGAACTGATTAAGACAGATATCTACCACAAAGATCTTTTAAAAAGTGAAAATTACATTTTCAGTTCTGATTTCTCCATGCTCAGGAAGAACAATAAACATCAGAGTAAATGCTCTATTAATAACTATTGAGTGTAAGAACAAGGAGGAAAGATGCATGTGGTAGATGACATAAGAATTGTGTCACTAATTGACAGTGTTGTTTATCTTTAGGTGCGTACAAGTCCATGGGAATATCCAACCTGACAACACTCTCTGAATTTACCCTCTTGGGACTCTCCTCTCGGTCTGAGGACCAGAGGCCACTCTTTGCCTTATTTCTTGTCATATACCTGGTCACTTTGATTGGAAATCTTCTCATCATCTTGGCTATCCACTCTGATCCTCGACTTCAAAATCCTATGTATTTTTTCCTAAGCATCTTGTCCTTTGCTGATATTTGCTACACAACAGTCATAGTCCCCAAGATGCTTGTGAACTTCTTATCAGAGAAAAAGACCATTTCCTATGCTGAATGTCTGGCACAGATGTATTTCTTTCTGGTTTTTGGAAACATAGATAGTTATCTCCTGGCAGCTATGGCCATCGACCGCTGCGTAGCCATTTGTAACCCATTCCATTATGTCACTGTTATGAACCGCAGATGCTGTGTGTTGCTACTGGCCTTCCTCATCACTTTCTCCTATCTCCACTCTCTCCTACATGTCCTACTGGTGAATCGGCTCACCTTCTGTGCATCAAATGTTATCCATCACTTTTTTTGTGATGTCAACCCTCTGCTGAAAATATCCTGCTCCTCTACCTTTGTCAATGAAATTGTGGCCATGACAGAAGGGCTGGCCTCTGTGATGGCTCCATTTGTCTGTATCATCATCTCTTATCTAAGAATTCTCATTGCTGTTCTCAAGATTCCCTCAGCAGCCGGGAAACACAAAGCCTTCTCCACCTGCAGCTCCCATCTCACCATGGTGATTCTGTTTTATGGGAGTATTAGCTATGTCTATTTGCACCCTTTGTCCAGCTATACTGTCAAGGCCCGAATAGCAACAATCAACTACACTATGTTGACATCAATGTTGAACCCATTTATCTACAGTTTAAGAAACAAAGACATGAAACGGGGCTTACAGAAACTGATAAACAAGATTAAGTCTCAAATGGGTAGGTTTTCTACAAAGACCAATAAAATCTGTGGGCCCTGATTGCAAGGTGTGTGTGTGTGTGTGTGTGTGTGTGTGTGTGTGTGTGTGTACCTGATGCAACTCTTTTTGTAAAAAGCCTTCCTTCATCTTCACCAACTATAGCTTCACCTTTTCTACCCTGTGGTCTCTTTCATCCTATGATTGAACAATTTGGATGACTTGGTATTGATGCTCAAATCACACACTCACCTCATAATATCTCTTCATTCCAGAAAATCACATTCTCTTTACTCTTTGCATATTTATTTGGAGTCTCTTATATTTCTTTGTGTTTATAAATTCAGCCAAGTTTGGCCATTCAATTATCAGAGAATTTTCGTATATACCTATGCAGAAATTTATATATGTGCGATGATATTATGCACACATAGTCACTCTATTCTATTTAAAGCTGTCAGAAATGTTTTGCATGTGTGTATGTGTGTGCAAGTCTCACCTCACCATCAGACTGCAGGCTATGGGCCCTCCCCCCTTTTTAGAGACCGGTTCTTAACCCCCATCACCCAGGTTAGAGTGCAGTGACACTCTCATAGCTCACTGTAACCTCAAACTCCTGGGCTCAAGCAATCCTCCTCCCTCAGCATCTCTAGTAGCTAGGACTACAGGTGTGTACCACCACCCCTAGGCAATTTTTTAAATTTTTTGTAGAGACAAGGTCTTGCTATGTTACCCAGGTTGGTCTCAGACTCCTGGCCTCAAGTCATCCTCCTGCCTCGGCCTCTCAAAGTACTGGGATTTTAGGTGTGAGCTTCCACACCCAGCTTTATGGTACCTTTTTAAAATTATCATAAAAGCTGAATGTCCTGGGCTCTGGAGTCATAGATTCTCAATAACTGCCACCAATTATCTGATTGACTTTTTTTTTTTGAGACAGAATCTTGCTCTGTTATCAAGGTTGGAGTACAGTGGCACTTTCAGCTTACTGCAGTCTCCACCTCCTGGGTTCAAGCAATTCTCACACCTCAGCCTCCCAGGTAGCTGGGATTACAGGTGCTGACCACTACACCCAGTTAATTTTTGTATTTTTGGTAAAAACAAGGTTCACCATGTTCACTATATTTCTAGGCATCTGTAGGTGGTTAAATAAAACACCGAATTAAAAAAATCTCCACTGTCTCCTCTATCTGTCTAGTTGTTTTGCTCAGAATAAAGAAAGGTTTATTCCATGTAATCAGAAATGTTTCCTATGGTCACTGAAGGCAGAGTCAAAAAAATCAATAAATATAAACTACTAGTAAGAATCTCTTGGGTCAGAGTGCCTAGTATAAAGGAGCCCCTCAATATAGTTGGGGAACAAATTACATGACCTAGGAAAGCAGTCAGATGAATTATTTCACACAATATTTTTTTAAAGCGTCAATTTAGTGAGTTTCTCTTTCTTTCCTAGTATTCATATTTTAGTAGATGGAAATGTCTAAGTCAAACAAACTAATCTCTCATGGTATTTTAGACAAGGAGCAGATGGATGATCTCAAAGTGTAAAATGATAGAATAAGGTTCTGGTGATCTATTACACAGCAGTTGACTACAGTTAATGAGAACGAATTGTGCTCTCACCACAAAGAAACAACATGTATTTGAACTGATGGATGTGTTAATTTGCCTGATTTGATGATTCCACAATGAATACATGTATCAAAATACCACACTGTACTCTACAAATATATACAATTATTATTTGTCAATCACAAAATAAAATAAAACTTTTTTAAAAGAGTCTTTAAATCCCTTTGTTTTAGCCCTTGTTAATCCCTAACCAAAGGTAAGGCAGAATCAAGATAAGATATATTATTCAATTTAATTCCTTTATTACATGTATTGCAAATTAATTTTAACTTCCCTGACAACTGTGATCAACTGAGGACTCCTGCATTGCTAATGAGAAAACTTATGTGCCTACCATTGAACCGAATGAAGAAGGATGAAGATTGAGTATGTCTATGATGGGCATGGGAGTAAGGAGCACTGGTACATATTACAAGTGAAGGTTTACAGTCATCATAGGCCTCAAGACTTGGGTATACTTTCATCCTATAGCATAACTTTTTAAAAATTTTTTATTTTCATAGGTTTCTGAGGAACTGGTGGTATTTGGTTACATGAGTAAGTTCTTTAGTTGTGATTTGTGAGATTTTGGTGCACTCATCACCTGAGCAGTATATACTGAACCCAGTTTGTAGTCTTTTATCCCTCACCTCCCTCCCACCCTTTCCCCCTGACTACCTCTTTTTATATTGGAAAAGAGGTAGTCAGATTTTCCCTTTTTGCTGATGATATGAATTAATATCTAGAAAACCCTAAAGACTCCATTCCATCTTAGATTTGATTAATGAATTCAATAAGGTTTTGAGATATAAAATTAATGTACAGAAATAATTAGCATTTCTATATACTAATTATGATCTAGCTGAGGAACAAATAAAGAAGGCAATCCCATTTACAATAGCTACAAAAATAAATCAAATATCTAGGAATATATTTAACCAAGAAAGTGAAGGATCTCTATAAGTAGAACTACAAAACACTGATGAAAGAAATCATAGATGACATAAACAAATGGAAAAAACATTCCATGCTCATGGATTGGAAGAATCAATATTGTCAAAATGACCACTCTTCCAGAAACAATTTACAGACTCAATGCAATTTCTATCAAATTACCAAAGTAATTTTTTGAATTAGGGGGAAAAAATCCTAAAATTTATATGGAACCAAAAACAAGCCTGAATAACCAATGGAATCCTAAATAAAAAGAACAAAGTTGAAGGCATCACATTATCTGATTTCAAATTATATTACAAGGCTATAGTAACCAAAACAGCATGGTACTGGTATAAAAATAGGCATAAAGATTAATGGAACAGAATAGAAAACCCAGAAATAAAGCCACATACATTCAACCAACTGACCTTTGGCAAAGTTGACAAAAATATACACTGAGGAAAGGACACCCTATTCAATAAATGGTGTGGCAAAAATTGGATAGCTATATGCAGATGAATGAAACTTGACCCACTGAATCACAAAAATACCTGCATCTATATGTTTATTGAAGAACTATTTACAATAGCAATATGAAACCCACCTAAATGTCCATCACTGAAGAACTAGATAAAGAAAATATTAGATAGATACATAGGTAGATAGTGTATACACACACACACACACACACACACATACTTATGGAGTCCTACTCAACCATAATAAAAGAACAAAATCATGTCTTATGCAGCAACACAGATAGAACTAGAGGCCATTATCTTAAGTGACATTGCTCAGAAAGTAAAATAACACGTGTTCTCACTTGTAAGTGGGAGCTAAACAGTGGGTACATATGTATATAAAGATGAAAACAACAGATACCAGGAACTTCAAAAGGGGGAATGCTGTGGGGTGCAGGTTGAAAAATTACCCATTGGGTACAATGTTCACTATTCAGATGATGGTACACTAAAAACCCAGGCTTCACCACTATGCAATAGCATAGAACATGTAAGAAATCTTCACCTGTATCCTCTAAAGATATAAAAGTTAAGAAGATAAAACTTAAAAATAAATGTAACTAGTTTACAAACATTGTAGCCCATTGTAGCTTTCCAGAATTCTTTAGATTGGGATGCAGGGCCTAAAGTCCACATAACAATAAAATGTTTTGCTTCAGTTTGTCATTATTCCTTGGGCATTTCTCTTAGCAATGTCATGGGAAAAAGTACCTGGATTTTAGAGTGGAATCCAAAGTTTCTTGAGTTCCCTTGCCATAATACCCTCCAATAATTTTCACCACCTAGCGAACTAGGGTATAGTTTTTAATCACATAATTTTAACAAATTTAAAAATGTCAACCAATGTTCACTAAGTCATCAAGGTAAAGGAAAGATAACTACCATGACTATTTCCCAATCCCAGGTGCCTACCCAAACACCATGGAGAGAAAGCAGAGATATTTGAGGCCAAACCTTAACCTGTGTGAGGCTGAGGTCACCAAGGACAGCCATGACCTCCCCCAGAGTCCCTTTTTGCTCCTATTTCAGTAGCATTCCAAACCAGATAAGCCAAGTTCTAACCAGGAGATAAACACCTTTGCTCTCAAGAGGGAACATGTTTCTCTGACTAGACAGTGGGATGGGTATGCCTGGGTAATCCTGGTTTCTCTGTACCAGGGAACTATGTTGGGATCAGCTGTGGCCATCATTACTTCGAGACTGACTTGATATGCTAAGAAGTTCCAAGCTTAATTCCCAAGCACCCATTCACCAAGGAGAAGCCAAACTTTTATCTCTGGATTCCATTTAATTAGGTTATTAGTAGCCAACCCAAGTGGTTAATTAACATCAAAGAAAAGGATCTAAAGGTTCAATAGCAAGTCCTCCCCAGAGCCTTGTTAGGAAAGCTGAGATTGGACCTGTCCCTCAGAGGCACCTTCTGCAATGATGGTGGCTCAGAAACTTTTCTGACACAGTATCATGAGTGAGGCCTCCTGGCTTTTCCCCTGGGATGCTTTCAAGGGACCATATTCTACTTTGATTTTAGAAACAGGAAAGAAGACACCATAACTCAGAGGCTTTGCCTGCTCCCATCTGAGGCCATTCCTCCAGGGAAGCATTGGAGAGAGCTACTGAATAACCAGCTTGAGAGAGACACTATATTTAAATCAGTTTTAATCAGGGCCATTTTTTCATGTGTTTTTTGAATGGCATTGTTCTTGAGGCATACAAATCAATTCCCCTATTCCATTTGATCTAATTTAAAACCATGATAATGGTGTCTACGTTATCTAAGGCAGGGATTTTCTGCCTCCTCTGCCCATTTAGCTACCTGGGAAGCTTCAAAAAAGATTCTGATGCCCAGGCCATACCCCACACCAATTAAATAAGAATCTCTAAGGATGCAACCCAGGTATACATATTTTTAAAGCTCTCAGGTGATTCCAATGCACAGCAAGGTTGGGATTCCTTTAGAGGGTCCCTATTGGCTTGTGATTTTAGGGCTAAACAAATGAATTACCTCCTACCCTTATCTCCTAGGTCTATTTTTATCTATCATAAGTTTTGGGGTTTTTTGGCTTTTTCTTAGATTTTATGTGTCAATATTTGTTACTGAGAAAGGACATAAAGAAGGCACTATGTTAAAAATAATTTAATTCAATTGTTCTGGTCTTACATGTTTCTATTTTCCTTTATTCCCCTAAGTCCACAGATAACAAATTAATACAGTCTAGTTGTGAAGTAATTCAAACAGAAGTTATAAAGTAAAACCTCTTGATTCCCACCCACAAACCCATTGTGTATAAAAATATATCTTTATATATTCAAATATCAATATTAACACTTTGAAATTGCACAGTATAAATATATTATTTCACAACTTGATTTTTCATCTAATAAGATGTCTTGGAGATGGTTCCAAGTCACTAGTATCTACAATCTACACTATTGTTTTTAACTGGCCCCTAGGATTTTAACGATATTTCATAAGAAGCTACTATAATTTATTTAAACATTCCTTTATTATTAGACAATTCAATAATTTCTCTTTCTCTGTTACAAATCTGCTGTGAACATCTTGTGCATAATATTGTTCAACTGTGTACTATGCTTTATATACAAACATGAAAGTAGAAGTTGCTAGATACTATAAAATTGTCCTTCAGAAAAGGCATTTCTATGCCAATCTAGTGTGTGACAGCACCTTTTTCTTCACACATTCAACACTCTATAGTATCAACATTTTCCATGTTTTCTAATATACTGATCAAAAAATAATATTTCATTGTTCCCTGAATTTGCATATCATTATGTATGTTTATTGGTCATTTCTCTTTCTTCCACTGGGAATTATCTGTTTATATGTTTTCCCATTTTTCTATTGAAGCATTAGTCAGACTAGACTCTATATGCTGCAGTAGCAAATCAATCCTAAAATCTTAATATCTTCACACAATAACACTTTATTTCGTGCTCATACTATGTGTCCAGTGTGAGTCATCGGGGTGCTCTATAGATAGTGACCCAGAGAAAGCCACACTGATAGAGGTCCTCTACAGTATATCAAATCAAACAGACTGGAGAACTGCATGTGGTTTTCCTTTGCCTTAACCCAGAAATAACACACATCACTTAAATTCATATTTCTTTGAACAGAAGTAGTTGTGTATTCACACCAAACTGCAGGGCATAGGAATATAAGTTTTCATATGCAATATTTGGTAAACACTACCATCTCTATTACAACTTGGAGTGTTAATAATTTCTATACTGACTTTTTGAAATCTATTGTATTATATGAATAGTGATCTTGTCTGCTGTGCATACGATCCTCCATATCTGTGGGTTCCACATGTGCAGATTCAACCAATCATAAATTTAAAATATTTGGAAAAAATAATATTACAACAATAAGAAATAATACAAATAAATAGTATAGTATAACCATTATTTATACAATATTTACATTACCTTAGGTATTATAAGTAATCCACAATGATTTAAACTATACTGGAGGATGTGCATAGGTTATATACAAATACTATGCCATTCTATAAAAGGAACTTTAGCATCATGGATTTTGGTATCCACAGGGATCTTAGAAGCAATCCCTTATGGATACATCATATATATGTGTCCAGTTTTTTTTCTAATCTTTTTGCTTCTCTTTTAACTTTTTTCATGGCATCATTTGTCACACACATTTTCACTTTTAAATAGCCAAATCTGTCAATCTTCTAATTTAGTGTTGGGGATTCTATTTTGCTGAAGAAGGGTTATTACACCCCCAATATGACAAAAAATATTCTCCTATATTTTCTTGTTATAATTTTATAATTTTTTCCTTTTAGATGTCTGGATACATTTGGAATTTATTTTTACATATGGTATTAGGTAGAGATC